CTTAAAATGTTTACGTCAAGAAAGTCATAAATTATCCTTATGCGGTTAAAAGTGTTGTTTATTTATTTCTTGATGTGTTTATTTATATACCCGGTACATTAGACTCGTAACCAAATATTATTTACGAGTATTATTTAAGAGTTACACTAAGTGACGACAGCTTTATTTATATAATGATTTACTTACTATACAAAAGCGGCTAACATTTAAAACTATACTGTACCTACGTGAAACCCATTCGCCTTCAGTAAACAATATTAATAGATGAATAGGTAACTGATTCAACCGTAAAAGGTTTATATTAAAAAATATATATAAAACTGTGGGGTGCATAAAAGATGTGGTTTTTAATTCGCATAATCTTGGGATTGAAATAAGAATATCAAGTAGCTGCTGCTAGCTGATGACATGAGTTGGTTCAGTTCAACAACTAAACCCAAGGTTTTGATATACAAAACCTGTAAAGGTTACCGTTTTCAGGAATGCAAAACATCAAAATTAAATCCACGATAACCACATTGCCGTAAACTCACTGTCAATGACCCTTTGCTGACATTATTACTGCACTAGACGACTTAGCATGAAAGATAGAAACATTTATTTCCTCGGAATATGGTTTTACGTTGTTGTTAAAAAGTTACTGTCCTCAGCGCAATTAGTATTTTTAAGCATGGGATAAGTTTCGGTCTTAATTATAGCCTGTAAGATTTATTCAAGTAAGTAACAAAATGTAAATACTTACGTAATTATGTGTATTTTTTAAGAAATCCTAAACAGTATAGAAACATCTACTTCGTAATTGTCTCTTTAAAATAAAAACCACTGATAATTTCCCCTGTGTAGAAAGATAATTTTGTTTTTAATTAAAAGGAAGCTGCGTTGTAAATTAGAATTACTACAATAATTATTTTGTAGTTAGTATCTACCTTGTTTATTACATCGGCGTTTACGTTTGAAATGACTAAGTTTACGAGTTGTTAAGGTCCTTGGTTTTATAATTATAGCTATAACACGCCGGTAGAAGTGAAAGTTATGTTTTCTTGCTTCGCTAAATCATTAACTCGTTTGTAGATTAATGATGATGTTAACCGATGTCGATGTTGCGTCTATTGACTGAATATGCCTTTGATAGTTGCCAACCTAGTGTAAGTAGACTTTTATTATATTGCTAACTATTTTATAATTATTGGTAATCGTTCACGATTTCTTGTCTCTAAACTTTCGCCTCCTGTAAGCGTATCGGACATAAATCAAGACTTTTCACTTAATAATTAAAACTATCGTTTTGTTTGTCTAACGTTTCATTCCATGCCATTAACGCTCGAACTAACTTACTAACCACCAGAATACCTAACTAACCAGTAGATTTAAATTGTGAGAATTCGCTTTGCTGTCCTTTACTATGGCATTTCGCCGATATTCCGACTGTAAGACTGGATAGAAACAGCATATTCTTAGACCAATTTTCCTAAAAAATCGGTTCTTAAGTAATGTGACATCTCAAAATTATGAGTAAAGATACAAGACGAACATAACATATATGTCAATGATTGATTTATACATAATTATAGGAACTGATATTAGTTGACATTGACCAAACCCTGAGGAACAATATACATGTTATTAACTCTCACTTGTTCTTGAAATTTAAAAAAAAACAGGGTAAAAAAACTCTATTAAACATTTGTGTTTATCAATCTTCATTTATTTAACGCCTAATATCACTAAAATTATGCCGTGTTTCTCTCTTTTTTTCTTCTCGTTACACTCCCCATTCTGAAAAAAAGAAAGAAAAACAATTTATTTGCTGACGTAAGAACATACACTCACAATATAAGGGAAACTTAATACTAGGCTTAATTTTTACATGTAGGTACCTCACGTGCCTCTCGAATAGGACCTGGTTCAGCGTCTGCTTGACAGATATCAAGCGCTGGTTTTCAAACCAGACCTTTTAATGAGACCATTCTGGACTAGACTTTCACTTCATTTACATGTTAGTGCATTCCACCCACAAAGGAATAATAATAACATATAAGTGCGCCTTATTGCCAACATGTCAGCCTTAGAAACGGTATTATAATACCGTCCTTATAAGGTTACTTGTCCATCTCGTCGGTAGATGTTCTACGTTGCGATTTGTGGTCTATAGTCTTATCTTCAGAACCTTTCTGCCTGATCCCAAACTACATACTATGGTAACCAGACTGCTGATAAACATACTCATATATTTCTAAATACATACATATTAAAGATAAAGTACACCCAGACACAGAACAAGCGACCGTGCTTATCACACAACCATTTGTCCAGGGTGGGAATCAAATCCACGACCTCTGACGTAGGAGTCAGGGTCACTAACCACTAGACCGACAGGCCAGTCAATGTTTGTAATGTTCTAAGCATATGCTTATAATTTATACAGTACAGCAGTACCCTGCTTTATGGGTTTGATTGATTTGTGTAAAACAACGCGATATATTTGAAGGTTTATTCCTATACTACTTCATATTGCAGTTACGCATAACCTCGAAATAAATAAGTATTACCTAGTACAACATTATGTATTAGTTAATATGTTTTCTGTATCAATATACCGCCTATAGTAATTCTTCCACTATTATTTTCTATCAGCTGTTTAAATATGTAATTGTTTATGTCATAATATTACACCTTAAGGCCTATAAAGTCATGGTGATATTCAAAGAACACATTGTGTAGACGGTTGAGTCATCACATTCATCACTCATCACAAAGTTAATACACGGACAGTCGATAACAGAAGTATTCCTAAAGGATATTATTTTAAAATTGATTGACTGCCTAAAATAAGTTTTGAAGATTACTGTTTTTTTTAAAGGCGTTCTAGCAACTCAAATTACTAGTGTTCCCGTTAACCTTCCCAGCTTAGCTAAATTGGTTGTGTCAGAAGTGAGTTCACGTCGGTAGTGTAATGGTCAGGATTCGAACCCACGACCTGTTAATCGCAAATCCAATGCCTTAACCACTAGGCTACCGCCGCTTTTAATTAAACCGTACAGTAAAGCCGTTCGAATAAAGAGAACTTTAACCAATTTGAATTACTGGTGCAGTGACTTTTTTTCAGCTGGTTAGAAAGTTCATAAAACCTTAAATATCATGTAATCCGTGTGCTAAGTCACTTGTATTGTCAAGCAAGTGTAAAAATTGACTTCCACGAATATGACAAAAAATGTAGCTCACTATGTCCAGCTTCTAATGAGAGATTATTAAATGCTGTCGATGATTATTATGTCGTCCAAATTGTGGTTGCTGTAAAACGCCTAGAATTTGAAAAATGAACACTAGTGAAACTTGATGCATCTTTATACTTATTGAACTAGTTGTAATATTGCAAGTCTGACCAATTCTGCTCGGTCCTGGTGAATTGCTTAATTTGAATAATCCTACTTCTTGCAGAATTTGTTACCTTAACTTTAATTTTTCTTTGTCTATTTTTTTTTAATTTAAAGAATTTTAGATTAGTAGATTGTAATGTATTCATTAGAGAAGCGACATTAACCACTTGTGTCAGTGACTGTCCACATGTATCAGGTACATAATACGGTGTATAATTACAACCTACTAGACTCTGATGCTGTAATAATAAAATCCCCGTTCTATCTGTCTTTTTCCTAAAAATTAAAGCTAAAAATTTTGTATCTTTCTTTATTATTCGTTTGATAACATTTTCTTGTCTATATTCCCAACTAAAATACATTAATAACATCTCATAAATGTCTAACAACAAAACACTTTAAGGGCAAAAACAATTTCAATCAGCTAAGTTTTTGTGTATGTAATTATATATAAATATTTCCTATAACAGAAAATTTTACCTTGTGTTGCAAGGATGTAGAATGCGCTGCGTGCAATTATAATGACTCCGTTGTGGAATGTTTCCTATGAAGCATCCTTGGGCGCTTGTGTATTAACAATAATTATTTTCTTACTTTAAAATAAAAGACTAATATTGGAAGTAGAAATCACAAAGTATTAGCAATACACAAAAGTTATAAAAAGGATTAAAATGTCATCAAATTTGATTAGCAAGGATAATAATATTCTGAATATATTATTTTCCGATACTAACCGCAAAACTGAGTCGTCATACCATTATGAAAAGAGGTCATGACTATCTGCTTGGCGGTACCAGCGAAACATGGAAATTATTATAATGAGAACAAATTCTTCAGAAAAATGACTAATAGAAACACTTTAAATAAGGAAAACGTTGATAAAAAAATACACTACAAATAATTTAATAATTTTAAGGTTTAAGCGATCACCACGCTGCTTCCTACTGCGCTGAGTGTTGTGGGTTCGATCCCCACATGGGACTCCACTTTGTGTAATCCACAAATTGTTGTTCTGAGTCAGGGTGTTCTTTGTGTCCGTTCCATGTATGTTTGTGAAGTCCCCGACACAGGATATATATTCCTAAAGTTGTATTTAAAAAAAAACTCCTGGATTGCGAAACTACTTTCCTGGCCACTGTGACCTATACCTAGTACCTATAATTATATTATAAACGCCATACACAAGTAGTTGATTTAAAAATATTATTTATATAAATGTAACATTGAACAAATAAAAACCTCAATTAACCAAAAAAGGTTATAGATTTTTATTGTCTACGACGTTTTCTCTCATGATTTTATAGCAAAATTAAATACCTAGTAATAAAAAGGAATATTACATTTTTGTAGAGGATTCTTTGTTTTGTTAAAGGACTATAGGAAAGCACGAAATTTAAATGGATTTCGTTAGAAACTTATTTCATAGTATAGTCACTATATTATTTATGCTACCTTAGGCGCATCCAATCCTTATAGCAAAATCTGTATCAAAATCATAATTCTAAATAATAAAAAAACAGACGAATTGATATCCTCCTCTTTTGTGTTTTGGAAGTCGGTTAATAAAAGTAAACAGTTTCTTTCCAAGTTCAAATATTTATAATGTATTTTGTTTGTCTTCAGAATGGTCTTCTGTCATCGTTACCGTACTTGGGCAAGTATTTATGCGCTCTTGCATCGTCGGTCCTCGCTGACTGGCTCCGTCGCAGCGGCAAGCTCTCCACCACAGCCGCTAGGAAACTATTCACCGGTTTTGCCGTTGGAATGCCAGGTTAAATATAGAACATTTAATATACCTATACCTACCTACCTATACCTAAACACAATATTTTTTAAACATTCTTAATTTAAATTCTTAATACAAAGGAAATGGAAATGGTTGTCTTAGCGAAGCAGCGAAAAAATTCATACGGAGTATTTATATTTTTTCTAGTGAAATGTTTGGCGTTTCCTTTATTTCTTGAATACAATGAGACAGAATAAAAAGCATTTTAATAAACAAAAAACAAACGTTTTATCAAAAGATTTGTTGAATTCGAAAACCTAAATATTTAATGGATAGTATAATTTTGCAGTTTTCGGTTCTTGATTTTTGTCTGAAATTATTATTTACTAAGAAAATAAATATATACACTCATACAATGTGTAAGGTTTTTTTAATCATAACATGTACTTATTTAATGTGATTTTTAGGTCTAAGTCAAGTTACAAAATATCAGTAATCCACCTCTTAAAATAATTTATGTAAAAAAATCAATATTCCCAGGATTTCTGATGATTGCCCAAGCTTATATGGGTGGTGACCGAGTATGGTCCATCGCTATCTTCACATCAGCTCTCACCATCAACGGCGCGGTGACTGCAGGGTACCTCGGCAATGGTCTGGATATTGCACCTAATTTCAGTGGTGAGCACTTAACATTATACCAAAAAGTTTTTAAGGTATGGTAAAAACCGTAGTATCAATTTAATTTTGATACAAAAGGAATTTCAAGTGAAATACAACACTAATGCGTAAAAAACATATTTTTTTCTTTTTATTATTAAAAGGACTTTGTTTACTACATATACACAGCTAACAATACGGCGAAACATGAGTAACCATGACTTAAAACTACATTATTGTATACTTAAACCAAAATCAGCCAGTTCAATTAACTGTCTAACTTCTGTTGTTCATCATTATCATATGCCTCTCCTTAGAAAGGAGGTTTTGGCCTACTACACCACGCTGGCCAGACGGGTTGGTATAGGGTTTGTGTCAAGTTTTCCTTCTCTCTGCAGTGCTGTTGTCCTGCGTATTTTGCTCCCTTAGTCGCCTCTTACGACACCCATGATGAATAGGGGTGGTGGTGACACTCTGTATTCTTAATCCGTCACCACAAGGATTTCTTCTGTTGTTGGATTAGACAACATACCATTTAAATAACCAACTAGTAGCCTCTTGTTTCCGTTAAAACACGATACTCACAGACACATTCGGACACATTCCATCAAAACGTGTTGGATATCTTCTATTACACCGCTTTCGGGACTTTTTATTAAAAAGAAAAAAAAACATTTAAGTTTTTTACGTAATAGTATAACGTATAGTCAAGATAATTGTTGGTAAATAGGAAATGTGGCCATAGTATACACGTGTTTTTATTGCCTTACCCATTAGCTTACTGCGTTCTGAAGGACTAATGTACAATTTTATGACACAATTTTCACGTAACTATGTATCTTTATCGTCTTCATTCTCATTTATTTTGTTGTTGTTAAATTAGTTTTAAACATATTTAAAAAAAAATACATGACGTAATTATTGTTTGCGTAATAAGAAAAATAATGAGATACAACAATAAACAGTTCCAAAATAAATTTCATGTCTTTGACATCTGACATTTGACAATGTCTTTGACATCTGTGTTGTTATTACAAATTTTAATTAATGCATGTAATTGTTAATTGTGTTATAACGACGCTTTACAACAAAATACAGTGTAATATGAAATTTAAACTAAAATACACATACATATCATTTTTATTTTTTTTGTTGTGTTGAATCTCATATAAAAATATGCATTTTTATTCTAACTAAGTCGATTATAATATTATATATATATTATCATAACTGGGTAAATAAATTAATTCGGGTATGCAAAGGCGAGTAGGTGACCCCACAATAACATACAATTGAAATCTTAAAAAAACCTTAGGCAACACAATAATTACAACCTAATAATTTATCGACATAGACTAACAGAGAGCATTGTCTACAAACTTCATAGGTTTTTTATAAAAGCTTGTGTAAGCATAAACATTTGTTTTTGTAATTATTGTTATATGATAATTAATTAAATAAATAAAAGTTTAAAAAAAAAATACAATACATTTCAAAGTTAAAAGACAAGATCGTTGTAAAAAAATATTTCAATTACCTGAAGAAAAAAGAATATTTCCTGAGACATGCTAATTTTAAATGAGAAAACCCTGTAAAATGCAAAAATTATTAACGGCACTGCTTTGTTTATAAAAAGCATATAAGAACAACAATTTTTCGACCGCCCGCGGAATCATAAATAACAAATCCACTCAAATCCTTCTCAACTGATAGATGTAGTAATATTTGCCTCTCCATTACAGGCACTATTTTTGGCATGGCGAACACCCTGTCGTCTTTGGGTGGCTGGCTATCTACCTTCATGGTCGGAGAACTGACCCACGGCAATGTAAGTATAATTATTTATTTCAATCTTTGAGTTTGAGTCTAATTTAACATAGAAAAATGATTACTGGATAGTCATAGAGATTGCTATCTCGTTACAATCAATTTTTTTATAAATTATTTATTTTATTTATTAAATATTTATTTATTACTTAAAAAAATATTTTTTCATCAGCTTCAACCCGAAAATAGTACGCACTGCAATTTTCCATGAACACTGGCACTTTCACTAGATATTTTCTCAACATTTTCAGAACACTCCAGAGCAATGGAAAATCGTGTTCTACATCTTAGCAGGCACATACTTCGCTGGAGCTTTAATCTTCGTGACCTTCGGATCAGGGGAACTTCAGCCCTGGAACTCACCAAACAGTGTTCGTAAAGATGAAAAGCATGAAGAACAACCCCTCAATGAAGAGAAAGCGTGAAGAGGTTCATGGGAATGTCAGGCATGTGGATGGTGTCTTTAAATTGCCAATCAGGTCATTAGTATCAATAACTGATATTAGTAGATAACTGGTATCCACAATTGTTTCAAGAAACAGTTCTAGACAAGATGCATTCCAAAACTTATATGACATTGAGTTATCGTTTGTGGAATGCAGTGCTACGTTTTTACTGTTCAAGCAGAATTCGAATAATTTATTTAAAGGTAGATTTACAAGTAATCCAAAAGTTTGTAAAGAAATTTATTGGTATTACTCCCACAATCAGAACTGGTTTTAAGGATCGATAGCATTTCACTTAGAATTTCAGTCTATTTCGCTTTTGATTGTGACAAATAAGTGATCTGCTACGATTGTCTATGATAATATAGAGTTACCTAAAGGTTTTCATGTAACTTTTTCGGAAATAGGTAAGACAAGATAAATGTTTTGAATAAAGAGGGATAACATTAAATCGAATTTTGATAAAATTTTGACACATTTTTCAAGTTTTTTAAAGGTTTACATCCATGTCTGACGGAAATATACAAATAGGTTACAAATTAACGTGTTATCACAAATGCGTAGAGATTTACTCGGTTACAAATTGAATTTATGAACCGATATTAGTTACGTTCTATGTATATCGTTGTTGACGAGGAGAACAACAGTTGTAGCTTTGAAAGCAACCATAAAGGTTTAACCACCTTAAATTATTATCTGACGTACACATTATAGAAAAAAATACTTCTTTTAATGACAACCTTGACTAAGAAAATAATTACAGATCTATGAAATAGGATATTTATAGTAAATTATTTTATAAGACGAGTTCCCAACATCAATTAACTAAACATTTTTTTGAACATCATGACAGGAAACGACCATTTAAAAAAAAAAGTTATAACTGCTGTCCTCCTAAACTAAATAAAAGCATAAGAAATAATTTTCCCACTTCGAGAACACCTCTAATTGGGAAAATGATTCCTTACGTATTGTTAAAAATGAAAAAGTTAAAAAACTCAAAAAAAGGCTGTTTAGTGTGTAAATATAATGTGATGTATTTATAACGTACCGGCGCGCTCACGGACTTCGAAACGTTTGGTTCGTACGAAACCCGACTCATGCCTAGTGTTTAGTGTCTGTTACACACACACGAACATACAACTCCTAGGAAATAACCTTGTAAGTTCACCATACCAACATTACTTTCTTACCACCACAAGGCGTATTCTTTTAGTCTTTCTTTCTAAAAAGACAACTCCCGCACAAGGAATTTTTCCTGTGTCGCTCGCGGGAATTTCACAAACATATATAAAACGGACATACCAGACTCACAAATCACAGAAAGTGTTGTCTCATGTAGGGATCGAACACGCAACACTCAGCGCTGTAGGAAGCGGCGAGGCGACCGCTTTAGTCGTGTTATCCATATCTTGTTAACGGTGATGGTAATGAAATATCGGTGAACACAAAATAATTATTTACGAATTAATTCTACAAATTATGACGTAGACGTTCTGTTCATTTAGGATGCACTGTAATAAAAAAAAAACAATATTCCAGTAGTACGGTAAGCACTCTCACAACGAACTCGATATTTTGGGGCCTGGCTCTTACAAAAATATTTCAGTCAGACTGAAAAGTGCCTAGTGCCTTATCCCAAATATTAAGAAAAAAACTGTTTCTGCCAGAAATACTTTCGATACAAACCTTTTTTTTTATAAACTTATCGTGTCCTAATGTAGGGATGGTACTGCAAGGTTATATCCGATGATTTGTACTTAGCATTATATATAGGTAACGTAATGTCGATCGCATTTTCAGATGATGATAACATTTACTGAACTAAAAAAATCCAAATTCAAGTCATATTAAAGAAAAAATTGCAACTATATTTTGAGATATATAAATATGTTTCTTGAATCATGAAGATTGAAAAGAAAATCTTAGATCATTTATATGTCTAGTTCGAGTGTCGCACTAAAATACAACTAAACAACTGTGCCGACTTTAATAAGCTGGTGTGCATGCAAACCTATGCTTCAACACAGCAGACATACACAGCTACAAAGAAACATAGTGGCTAACGGTTGGACACTATCTTTTACTACGCTTTCATAGCTTGTATATCTAAACATATCAATGATCAAAGAAGACACATCAATTCACGATTTTATTTCAACAATTCTGTTTATAAGGTGTCGTTTATACGGATAATCTGGATGCGATCGCTATTAAGTATACACAATTATTTATAACTATTAGTTTTGTTGGTCCTCAAACCCTTTGGTAAGCAAACATGTATTAGCAATTTGTCAGGTGAGTAGTGAAGTGTAAATGATAAATTATTTCAGTCGTTGATTTCAAAACTGACTCATAGATGGCGCTACTTGCAAAACCTAATCTTTTAAAAATACAATTTAATGTTTTACAGAAAGTCATTTGTACTTCAAACGATACCAGTGTTAGTTTTTAAAGTAGAACGCTTACCAAATTGTACTGATAGATGTAAGGCGAATAGTATCCGGGGACCAAACTAGAGGGCAACGCTAATTTCGTGTCTAGAATTGAGTAGCGTTAGTTACGTGAAGTGACGAATACAGGCGACGACAAAATGCAAAACATTAAAAATGAAAAAGGTTCTTGAGATCAATAACAGGTTAAAAAATAATGTAATTTGTCATTTAAATCTATACTAATATTATAAAGCTGAAGAGTTTGTTTGTTTGTTTGTTTGTTTGAACGCGCTAATCTCAGGAACTACTGGTCCGATTTGAAAAATTCTTTCAGTGTTAGATAGCCCATTTATCGAGGAAGGCTATAGGCTACATATCATCACGCTAAGACTAATAGGAGCGGAGCACCAATGAAGAACGTTTCAAAAACGGAGAAAATTTATTACTATTGAGAGACGCAGACGAAGTTGCGCGGGTCAGCTAGTCTTTGATAAATAAATTAAAAACTAACGTCTTTGGCAGTGATGATATTTGACCATTAAGATTTCATTTGATTTTGAATTATTTTTTTTTAATCGAACTTTAGATGACGGAAATATCATTGTACATACCTACATACGGCTGAATATAGTACCTTCCGTCATTTTGGCAGTCGGTTAAAAAATACATCATCAACGAAAGCTATAATCTTATTCTATTAACGATTTTTTTAAGCGTACTGAAAAATAATTTTTACTTCGTTAATACGGACTTAAATTACTCATGACCAAGACTAACCTAAATGATAAATCGTTATTTTTGTTTCCGAATTATTACCACAATATTAACATTTTGACAATTGTAAAAGATACTTAATTGATTAAATTTGATTTAGAACAATTCATATTCCGGTTATTTTATTATTTATATTTGAGGTAATTATTAAATTGATAAAATATAATTATATTACAGGCTACTTTTAAAACACTCAACATTTAAATTCCATGACATCTATCAAAATGGCGGTAAATTGTTTAATCATTTAAAAAGTGCTTTTGAAACAATTCAATTGTAGACACGAAATATATTGATAATTATAATTTTATTAAGTATTGTTTACTAAGTATCTTATTTATTTTTCTACGTCGAAGGTTTAGGAAATTCAGAGCCATTGTAGTAATACCAGTTCGGCGAAGATGGATTCGCTCGCTACCGACCATAGGCAAGTCTCGTTACTTTTTTTACCGTAAGACATAGATATTAAGATTGAGGTTGGTCCCACTAAGCTTTGTGATTGTATATTATTTTATATATGTTTTAATTTTTCTCAACAAGACATTAATTTTAATTAAATGTATTATTTTAGGATTAATCTAGTCCTAATTAAAAGTTATCAGAAAATCCGTAACAACTAAATAATTCGTAGGAGTAGTTTTCTACAATTTTTAAACGACTATCGTTTATGAATTAATAGGTTGGCAATTAGTAATTAACGAGGTCCTATCGCAATTTCGAGAAAATCCACGGATGGTTTCAAACGTGTAAGCCTCCCTTGGATTTTCCCAATTTCACATTTGTTTTAACAAGTTTTTAATAAAATGATATTCAAGAATTAAGCAGTGGGAGCACCCGCTAAGCCATGTTCGCACTTAGCTTTATTACAAGGGATAATGCATTGTATTATGTGCATTTTGACAGCTGTGATAAAGAGGTTTGTCTATGGCCTTGTTTTGCTAGTATCTTTATGTTAAACGTACGCTCTCAAATTGTAAAGCACTTAAAATTGTATCAAATTTTGAATCTTAACGGCTACTATTAGTTCCTAAATTACGATCAGTATTTCGTAAAAGTTTTGTTTTTTTGACAATTTTGTTATTTAATTTTGAAATAGGCGGACTTTGTTTACATACTTTTTTAATATTTATGAAGTCATACTCCAATTAATATTAAAAAATTATGTAAAATAACAATCCATGATAAGACTATATATCATTATATACCTATATATTTCTTATTATTTGAATTTTATTGTGACAAAACAGATCACAATAAAGAGTTTACGTGATCTTTGAATCTTGTGAGGTGGAAAGACAGGACAATGTGTCATGAAGTAACTGTTTCCTTCTATTGCACACGGCAGTAAACTTTCTAGATTTTCTTGATTAAATTATTTTCTTTATTTTAATCTGTATGCAAATATATCAGTAAAAAAAATATCGTATACAAGCTTCATTCCCACAGTCCGTCTATTACAATGATATTACGTTCCACAGACAACAGTATCCTTCCAACGATTGCAGGGTAACTAAGTCCTTAGAGTACATTTTATAAACAAAATAATAATAACTTAAGTTAAGCTTGTCTGTGGAAACGTTCAATATATTATGTTCTAAGTATTACCCGCGCATGCTATATATTTAAGTACTTCGTCTTTCATATTTTTATTTCTTCTGATTAAAAAAAAGAGTATATCGTGGATTTCAGTTAGACCCCATAGGGTCATAACCGAGTAATAACAGGTCATAACCCGTGATCAGAGTAGATTCAACCAAACTTTTTTTGCGT